TTCCCTTCATTTATTCACTGTCCTTTATTCTCTTTCCGTTAATCTAAGGACTGTCGTGCCGATGGACGCGTCGCCAAAGACAAGTCTGGTTCTTTTTGCCCTAGGGTTTAGCGCCCTCATAGTGGCATGCGGGATTATATCGCGATAGATTTCAGTTTACCTTGCTGTTTGTGTGACACCAATGGTTTCTAAAATGAATAAAAATCATTCAGTACGGGACTGTAGGCGGTAGATGGCTATCTTTCAGCTACAACGTTAAACTCAGCTACGTCGACTTGATACCTTATGTACCTTACCTGTTTCTGCCGCCAAGCGGTAATGGGAGCGTTGTTACGTTCCGGTTTTAAAGAGTAAGGTGGCAGTACTTCCCTGAATTGACTTTTTCACAAGGAGCTCTACTGCTGCAATCTCAATCTTACAGAATAAAACTTAAATATTAATGGAAAGCCAATTATAGGTCCTCACCGATAGATACACATTAAGTTGATATTAATAAGCATTAAATTATAACTACGTATATAAATAGTGACTATACTGTACTATGACAAATTCGCAACACTTAGTAATTACCTACTCGCTAAAAACAAACTACTAATAAGACTCTTTTCTCGATGCAACACTAGTGTTAAAAATCTCAATATCAACTTGCTTGTACATTGAAGCTCTTATTCGCATGTAAGAGATATGCATTCCGTCGAAAATTCGAAGAGACCAGAGGTTAACAGAAGCGAATTAAACCTAAGGGTTTTTGTAGGAAAAATTGACAATCGCTGTCGGTTTTTATTGTGTAAATTATTATTTTATTTTCTTTTCTTTTCCACTTTCTCGCTCCTCAAATAGTTTGATTCAAGGTCTGTGCTAATTTTGTTTCATATGTTACCAGTTACACAAATGTGAGACCGTAGTTCCTGCCAGGGAGGTTCTGGCAGAAAATCAGTGCTGTGACGACAGACACACAGACGTGTGGCGAGGATACTGAGCTCAGAATCCTTTTTCCGGAATCCGGAATTTGGAATTTGGCTCTAAGAGAAATCTTGGACACGAGTTCCGGGGAGATCACGGCACCTGAAGCAATTTTTAGTAAAAATACTAAGTCTGCAATTCGATGTCGCACTTCCAGTGCTCTCTAGTTCCAAAACATAAAAACTGAATAAATCTTTGTTGCACATTTCAATTCGCGATACTATAGGTAAGGTATTGAGGGCTCCAGACCTGCGATGCGTATTCCAGATTGCAGGTGGCTGGGGACAAATGAATAATACATATCGTACACACAATTAAATAACATTTTTTTTACTGAAAAATACACTGTAAACCTGGGTGGGTGCAAAATCTTCTTCGCTTAACGCAAGTTTTCAAAAGCCCTTATGATGTTTATGCAGCTGTAGGATTCCAAGTAGGCTATTTTAGTTAATTTAGCGTTTTTCGTGGGTTAGACCAATCATTGAATGCTTTTTTTTACCTTTAGTTTTGCTTTAAAAGGCTCAAATACTCCCACATGGCATTCATGGTTGTAAATCGACAGCAATTATAATGTAACATTTTTAGTGTTTTGGCCTGTCTGAAAATTCTGGAGTTACGCGTCAAAAAGTTTTGGAGGCTTTTGAAATAATAGCCTCGATATGCGAAGCAAGTGGCAACTTATGATGATGAAAAAATACCCTCTTCATAATCTTACTAATGGTTCCGTAAGACTTTGTACACTCAAGAGCAAAACATGACATAGTGAACACATGAAGTTTAGTAATGGCGCATTTTGTTCCGTTGCATTACGGGTGACTTTCGGGCAAACTTGAGATGTTCTTTACTGTAAAAGATTTAAATAAGATTTGTGAAAGAAAATCAATACACGGTAAATATTTTTAGATACTGCACTATATACGATCTTAATTAACTAATTATATTTGAATTTCGTAATTAACTTTAAAAGGGACTTATTTACAAATAAGTGTGTCATAAGGGCGTACATTGTGGGTACCCACGCGGCGTCACCCTAATTAAACTACCGAAAGATCTATTTCCGTTGATAAAAGATAGGATGTTACGAAGATGAAAGATAAATTTACTTAAATTAATTTAATTTTTTGACGTATGAGGTGACAGGCGTTTTTATTGAATATAGTAAGTAGTAACAAAACAAAAGTTTGTTTAACTTAAGCCGCGCCTGCGCATACAAAAAGTCGGTGCAATTACACATTTATGATAATTATTTCCCTTAGTGGCCCAGCGGTTTACAATATGGGCGCTAGATGAAGAATTCTCAGGTTCGATTCCAAGTAGAATCAATTTGGGAAACAAATTTTCTAACTTGGTTGTAGTCTGGGTGTTGTAGGTAGTGCCCCGTAATGAATTCCGTTGTTCTGGTACTCATAGGACATAAATTGTTTGGAACTATTATTATTATTTATTATCGTATACTTTATTGATATTTGGGGCTTTATATTTCATCCGTCTTCGTAATAAACAAGAAATAAACTGGGGCACGATCCATTAATTGACGAACAATATCAACCAGTTTGTAATTTTATAGGGTAAAAGTAAACGAAACCCTTAAACATAATAAAAGACAATAATATTTTATGAAATCATTGCATAATGAGCAAGGATCGGAATAATAGTAGAGTTTTTTACCTAAACTTCGAGGAACCCTAGACAGAAAATGGAGACTGCCTTACGACAATATTTTTTGGGTCCTAGATCTGTTCGAGATTCGGGAAATAATTTACATACATTAAAAATTGACGTGATTGGGGACAGGCAGGTACTCTATATTTATCTAAACTTTGCGACACAGTGGGATCGGCAATATTGCGGACATTGGATTTTTTTCACGATACCTCTCTAAAAAAAATGTCAATCGAGAGATCCTATTGTTCCAATTAAATATTGTCATATCACATTTTGCCATAAATCTAATAGATTAGTAGGAAAAAAATAAAATGTGTATTTTTTGTATGGGACCATACTTTTAGTGCCCCATCGTTACAAAGTCTTAGTCGATCCAGTCTTGGAATTTGGATTAACAATGGGGCATACGATTATTGGTTATATTCAACCAATAATCCTACTTATGAACAAATTTTGCATTTGCATTTTCTGACGCGTATAAGTAGTGAGTAGGCAGGTTTGGGCGCGAGTCGCTGCTCCCTCTGCCGGCGGTCATCGCGTACGCCGATGATACGCTGGTGGCCGTCCGGGGGACCACCTTCCAGGAGCCGGCCCGAAGAGCCTCAGTAACGGCGGACAAGGTGGTCCGCCGAATACAACTGCTGGGGCTCGAGGTCGCCGTGCCGAAGACGAATGTGGCCGTCTTCGGCGGGAGGGGCAGAAGTTGGGCGGTGCGGCTCCCATTTGGAGTGGGGCTTTATCAGTGGCGACGAAATCGCTGCTGAGGAGGCCTCAGAGGGTGGTCGCCCTGCGAATGTGCAGAGTGTACATGACGGTGGCTTGCGCTGCCGCATGCGTCCTCGTCGGTACTCCGCCGTGGAACCTTGAAGCCGAGGTCCTGGCGAAAGTTCACGCCTACCGGCGGGAAATGAGGGACCGAGGCGAGCGTCCCGCTCCCCAAGAGGTCGACCGGGAGCGCCGCCTCGCGGCGCAGCGCATGCGGGACCGGTGGAAAGAGGGCTTGGCGGAGCCCCCTATGGAGCTCGTACCATAGGGGTGATTCATCCTGTCCTCGTAGAGTGGGTGAGCCGGTCCCACGGGCCACTGCTGCTGCTGACTGGGCACGGCTGCTTCGGTCACTACCTGCACAAAGTGGTGAGGAGGGAACCGTCCCCGTCGTGTCATGAGTGTGGCGCTGCGGATGACACCACGCAGCACACCCTAGAGGTGTGCAGCCGGTGAGATGAGCAGCGCCGTACTCTGACGGGGACAATAGGGCGGGACCTCTCGCTCCGGGCGTGGTTGACGCCATGCTCGGTAGCGAGGAGAACTGGTAGGCGGTGGCTTCCCTTTGCGGAGAGGTTATGACGCAAAAGGAGGCTGCGGAGCGGGTGCGCGAGGACGCGGCGGACGCGCACCCGCTTCAGCCCAGACGTACGGGGAGAAGGCGAAGGCAGTTCGGTGCTCGCCTGATCCCCTAGTGAGGCCAGCGGGCTCTCCGTGCAATGCAGGGACTCCGGAGCCTACATTGCACGGCCTCACTCATCTGGGGGGCGGGTCGAAGGACAACTGACCTGCCCCTTCATTGGCGCGGGAGCCCTAGCGTAAGCAAGGGCTTACGCTAGGGTGGCGTCGTGGTGAATGTGCACCGACCCCACGGCGCCGACTCGACTTTTAGTGGGGTAGGCCCTTTCAGTCTGGAGGGAGAGTCCCTACATCACCACATCAGGGAGAGTCTCCCTGGGCTCAGGGGTATCTATAAAGATTAAAAATTAGAAAAAAAAAGGTTTGGGCGCGAGTTACCAGGACGTAACGCCTGGTTATTGCTGACGACGTACCTACGCATCCACATACACGTGCCGTTTTATTGCAAGATTGTCTATAATGCATTTTTGAATTACCAATTTGTTATTTTATTTATAGTCAGTCTCATTACAGCTCTTATTGAATAAACAACGTCTTTTTATAATTAAATTTACTTTTTAAAAACCTATTTTTCGATCGCCAATACATATCTGGCGCAGTCGGTAATTCTCGCGGTACACCCGGAAAACTTATCATCATCGCGAGTTCGCGGTATAGCCCTCTATCGCACTACCGGGTGAAGAAAAGCAGCATCCAGACTCCCGTGAGAGAACCTATCCCTGGCGATCGTCGTGGAGCTTGAAGTCCGGAGAATTGGAACCTTGAGCTGCCACTGCTGTTGAGACCCGATAGGAGATGCAGATACTGCTGTGGTGAGTACTCTCTCGTTTACCAAGTTCCTATCTGCTCTATTTCCTGTCGTTCTATTTTATAAGTGTCACGCTGTGTCTGTCTATAGGCTATTATCGTCATAGATTCGCTTTTGTTTGATTCCAAAAGTATAGGCCCGCGTTTAATTAAGTATAACAATGGCGGAATCAGATTTCAAAACCCTGTCCGACCTTATGCCGCGATACGACGGTAATCCGAAACGGTTAAATATGTTTATTTCTGATGTCGATAACGTACTACAGCTGTTCCATATGGAAGGAGAATCATTTTCAAATTTAGTAGTATGTCTTATTAAAAGTAGACTTAGTGGCGGCGCTCTCGATGCGCTCGCGTACGAAAAATCTTTGAATACATGGCCTGACATTAAACAAGCCTTACTTCGTCGCTTAGGCGACCCCCGCAATGAGATACAGGTGATGCAGGACCTGTCGCGAACCCGCCGTCAGAAGTCAGAGGATTCTGAGGCGTATGGCAAACGTCTACGCGAAATTTTAGACACGCTGTACTCAGTAGGTAAAAACCCGGATAAATCGTATTACGAATGCATGGTTATCGAACAATACGTTAACCAATTGGAGTTTCACGTGTCGTTAGGGGTCCGTATTGATAAACCTAATACACTGGAAGCAGCTATAATGGTAGCCCGACAGGAGGAGGCCAGATTAGCGGCTAATCCCCCCCCCAGGAATGGTACAAAATAAGGGGAAGATGGGTTTTCAAAAACATACTTTCCCACGTTTGAATATGCCTGCCTTTAACAGTAATAATTTCCAACCCCAATATGTGCAAAATGTTCAACCCCAATCTAGCTGGACGGCAGAGCAGCGTGCGCCACAGAAACCACCAATGTTACTGTGGCATCAGAAACCAACTCAAGGTAACTTTAGAAATAATAATTCAGGTACATTTAGGAACTCTGGAGCTTTTCGGCAACCGAACATCCCGCAACGCCCTTGGAACCAGCCTCAGAAGGTGTCCGACGTTACGATGCGATCAGTATCAAAGCCACAGGCACCTAACTTTGGACAGCAGAACCTATTCTACATGGCCCCAGAAGAAGCAGACTCGAACGTAACTCAGGAGACTTACTATGATGAAGAAGCATACTCGTATAACAACTATCAGACCAGTGAGGCCCCTTATGACCTACCATCTACTCATGAGACAGAGGTAAGTCCCAGTCAGAATTTTCCCGTCACCAACGAGGAAGACGACCACAGCTAGTCAAACTCAACAACCACCACAAAGACCACTTGCCTTACATAGAAATACCCGAATTCCAAGGTAAGTTTCTAATAGATACTGGAGCCTCTCGCTCTATGTTATCACCAAGCGCTGTTTATGGCACTAAATTAGAAAACTTCGTCACTTACGAACCATTTGAAGTTAAAACCGCCCACGCACGATCAACTCATGATTTCGTCGCGCACATACCACTGCCTCCCCTATTTAATAGTAATGTGCAACATAAATTTTTACTGTTCGATTTTGACCCTAAGTACAAAGGTTTAATTGGTCTTGACTTACTAAAAAATATGTCTAGCAATATTGATCTGAAGGACAAAATGTTACGAACTTCATCTGCCGCGATACCCATTCATTTTGATCACCCAACTCGAAAGCTTAACATAGATCCCAGTTGTGAAAAGCTTATTACGGTCAAGACGCACTATACGGATGGCTACTACTTACACGATGAGCACGCGTGGTCCCCTGATGTAATATCCCCAGCAGCTCTCGTTACTGTCAAGAATGGGTTATTCCGTACAACTGTCCGGAATTCCTCTAACAAAATAACTACATTCTTTAATACAGAACCATTTCACCTAGTGCCACAATCAGAAGCTCTAGATACCTGTGAATTCAACTCAATAGAAACAACCAAAGAACTTGACAAAGAACTGTGCGAAAATTTAAAAAACATCCGCACAAATCATTTGAATGAGGAGGAAGAACGTGAACTTACAAAATTGTGTTACAATTATAGAGATATATTTTATTCTGAAAATATCCCCTTAACTTTCACTCACGCGGTAAAGCATGAGCTACGCGTGCGTGACAACACGCCTATCTTTGTACGTAGCTACAGACAGCCACCCCAACAGCGTGCCGAAATCAAAAGTCAAATTGATAATCTACTCAGCCAAGGTATTATCCGTGAAAGCGTATCCCCTTGGTCATGTCCTGTGCACATCGTCCCCAAGAAACCAGATGCCTCAGGTAATGTCAAATGGCGACTAGTCATTGACTACAGACGCCTTAACGATAGGATAGTAGAGGACAAGTACCCCCTCCCTAATATTTACGATATCTTAGACAGAGTAGGGCGTGCCCAGTATTTCACCACTCTGGATCTGGCCAGTGGATACCACCAGGTGGAAATGCACCCTAACGATGTAGAGAAGACCGCTTTCTCCACTGAGAGAGGTCATTACGAATTCTTACGAATGCCCTTCGGCCTAAAGAACGCCCCAAGCACTTTCCAGAGACTTATGGACCACATCCTCCGTGGAATCGATAATGTCTTTACGTACTTGGATGACGTCATTATTGTATCTACTTCCCTACAAGAGCACATTGAGAAAATCAAACAAGTTTTTGACAGATTTAAAATTCACAATCTCAAAGTGCAATTAGCGAAATCGGAATTCCTTAAGAAACAAGTGACTTTCCTAGGACATGAACTTACATCAGATGGTCTTAAACCAAACACCAATAAGATCAAAGCCGTTCTAGACTTTCCCATGCCTGTTACTCACAAAGATGTCAAAGCCTTTTTAGGTTTGGTGGGATACTATAGGAAATTCATCCGCGACTTCGCTAGATTGACTAAGCCCTTAACCGAATGTTTGAAGAAAGGCAGACGAGTTGTCCATTCCCCCGCATTTATAGACGCCGTTCAAAAATGTAAGCAATTACTGACAAACGGACCCATTTTACAATACCCAGATTTTGATAGCCCTTTTATCTTAACAACAGATGCCTCTGACGTCGCTCTGGGTGCAGTATTATCCCAGGGTACAGTAGGTTCAGACAAACCCGTAGCGTACGCTTCACGTACACTCTCTGACACGGAAACCCGCTACTCTACTATCGAAAAGGAATTACTCGCCATAATATGGGCGGTAAAGTATTTCCGACCGTATTTATATGGTAGAAAGTTCTACATTTATACAGACCATCGGCCCTTAACCTGGCTGATGTCCTTAAAGGACCCTGACTCGAAGTTAACGCGCTGGCGTCTTCGATTAGCGGAGTATGACTACTCTATAGTCTACAAAAAAGGCAAACAGAATACGAACGCCGATGCCTTATCAAGAGCCAAGATTTTTCATAATAGCATCGAATCTCTCGTTGTTAATTTTGATGACAACGAAAACGATGACATGATTAACCAGATCTTCGATAATGCCCGTAGAGAAGCAGAGAACATGCCTAATAACCCAAACCAACCCCTAGCTCCTGTAGGCGACTCTGGTACCCACATTAATCAAGATGATGCCCCCATTGTGCTACCAATCACTGTCGAATCCGAAACCGTGAGCACAACTTCTGCTGGACCAAGCCAGCTAATATCTACCAACCATACGCAGGCAGACAATGAAAACCAGGGTATACCCATCGTCACTGATGCTATCGACAGACAATTGAAACAGTTTTACATCCGTTCCACACCAGGTTCAGAGTACAGAGTAGACGATAGGTCCACCAATGCTAGAGTAGTGATAAAAGACGTGTTCATCCCTGTCAACAACACCGAGCCAGAAATAGTTCGCTTTCTCAAAGAACACACGATAGCAGACCGCACTTTCTATTGCTTCTTTCACAGTGAAGATCTCTATTTAGCATTTTCTAGAATCTATACTACTGTATTTAATGAACGAGGTCCTAAATTATTTAGATGTACTGCTCGTGTCACCCTCGTGGAAAATAAAACAGAACAAACAGAGATTATTAAGAAATTCCACGAAGGTAAACGGATACATAGAGGTATCCAAGAAACCTACAAACAAATTCAAAAACACTACCATTGGCCTAACATGTTACTTACGGTCCAGGCGTATGTCAATAAATGCGAGGTGTGTCTACAGGGAAAATACGAAAGAAACCCCTTACGTCCGCCCTTAGCCGTAACAGAAACACCAACGAAACCAATGGAGCACCTTTTTATGGACCTGTACTCCACTGGAGGTGCTACCTTTTTGACCATCATCGACAACTTCTCAAAATTTGCCCAGGCGATCCCATTAACCGCTTCCAGCAGTGTACACGTCGCTGATGCTCTGCTACAACACTTTTCCATACTAGGCTTACCTATCAAGGTAACCACAGATTCAGACTCTAAGTTCGACAATGACGTCATTAGAGAAATCTGTGCGTCACACAATATCCTCATTCATTTTACTACCCCTTACAACCCAAATTCAAACTCACCAATCGAACGATTCCATTCGACAATTTCAGAAATCATACGTTTACAGAGACTCACTAACAAAGATGATACTATACAGACCCTCATGAAATACTCCTTGATAGCCTATAACAACTCTATTCATTCAACGACCGGTTATACACCTCGTGAACTATTATTTGGCCACACGGAATCTAGGAACCCATTGGAAATTTACTACCCTCGAGAATTTTATCAAGATTATGTCCTCAAACACCACGCTAATGCCACAGCCGTACAGGAGTGTGTAACCGCCAATATGTCATCAAACAAAGAACAAATAATCACCAAGCGCAACCAGCACGCCGAAGCGATCCAATTCAAGGTAGGTGAGACCGTTTTTAAACAGGTGGCGAAGACAGCGAGGAACGATAAAACGAAACCAGTATTTAAAGGTCCGTATAAAATCATCCATTTGCACCCCAATAACGTGGCTGAAATCGTAGGCAGTCACCCTAACGCTAAGTCAATACGCGTGCACTTTAGACTACTTAGGAGACCCCATCTTGTTGCAGGTCAACTTTCGCAGGAACCTTCTGGTTCTTCGCAGCAGCCACCATGACCATAACCAAAGTAGATTCATCTTCCGGTGCCCTTTTGCTTAAAGAAGGAAAAATCCTAAAACAAGTAGAAACTTTCAGTTTGGTTTGTGTATATAATATATCAGATATTCATGTAGCTTCTCTTAAATTGTTGGAACTATTTATACGAACTAAGGCTTTCGAAACTCATACGACACATGAAGCTCAACACCATTCATATAAGGAGCAAATAGCTCATACATTTAGCTTAATTGATGATAAAATGTTGTTTCTATCACCTCATAGCAGAGTCAAGCGTGGTCTTATCAACGGGTTAGGCTCAGTAGTCAAAGCCATAACAGGCAACCTCGACAACGACGACGCTGAGAAAATAGAACAGGAAATTTATAAGTTAAAACACAACATTGCCGACTTATCCACTCGGCAGAAACACTCTGTCGTCCTAGCAGAGAAAACTATCTCTGATTTTAATAAGCACTTGCAAGCGGTCGTTAATAATCAAATAAAGCTAGAAGCCGCGCTGCTGAACACTACCACTAGCTCCAAAGCGACCCTTACGCAGATACATTTTTTAAATATATATGTTCAATTAGATTTTAGTCTGCAAATTATTTTAGACACCCTGATGCTTTTAGAAGACGCTATCACTTTCTCCCAGTTAGGAGTTATGCACCCTAGTATCATTAAACCCCAAAATTTAGTACATGCA